TAAGGAAGATCAGCCCTGAGCTAACATCTGTGCCCATCTTCCTCTATTTTGTATATGGGATGCTGCCACAGCATGGCTTGATGAATGGCGCAGGGATGCACGCCTGGGATCCAAACCTGTGAACCTCGGGCTGCCAAAATGGAGCATGCGAACTTAACCACTACGCCACCGGGCTGGCCCCCTTTTAAGGATTGTGCTTTGGTGTCATGTCTTAGAACTCTCGGACTGGCCCAGTGGTGTAGTAGTTAAGTGCGCGCGCTCCGCTTTGGTGGCCCGGGGTTCGCAGGTTCGGATCCCAGCGTGCATCAATACACCGCTCATCAAGCCATGCTGTGGCAGCATCCCGTATAAAGTAGATGAAGATGGGCACAGATGTTAGCCCAGGGCCAATCTTCCTCAGCAAAAAGAGGAGGATTAGCATTGGATGTTAGCTCAGGGCTGACCTTCCTCATAAATAAAAAAAAGGAACTCTCTGCTTAACTCCAAGGTCACAAAGATTTTCTCCTATGTTCTTCTAGAAGTTGCATAGTTTTAGATTTTACACTTAGAACTATGACCCGTTTGAGGTTAATTTTTCTATAACATGTGAGGTTTAGATGGAGGTTCATTTTTTGCATGTGGATCTCCAATTGTTCCCACATCATTTATTGAAAAGACTATCCTTTCTCTACTGAATTGCTTTTGCACCTTTGTCAAAAATAAATTGGCCATAGAAAAAGATACCACAAGAAAAGAAAAGTATAGACCAATATCTGTTATGCATATAGATGCAAAAATCCTCAATAAAATACTAACAAACTGAATCTACCAGCATCTTAAGAAGATTATATAGTGTGACTAAGTGGGATTTATCTCAGGAATGCAAGAGGGTTTAACATAAGAAAATCAACTAATGTAATACACCACGTTATAAAACGAAGGGAAAAAAACACATGATCATTTAAATGATGCAGTAAAAGCATTTGACAAAATCCAACACCCTTTCATGATAAAAACACTCAACAAACTAGTAATAGAAGGGAACTTCCTCAACATGATAAAGGGCATTTATTAAAAAAAAAAAAAAAAAGAAAGAAAAACCCACAGGTAACATTGTACTCAACGGTGAAAGACTCAAAGATTTCTGCCTAAAACCAGAAAAAAAAAAGATGCCCAATTTCACCACTGATATTTAGCATTATAGTGGAAGTTCTATAGAGAGTAAATAGGCAAGAAAAAAAAATAAAATGCATTCAAATTGGAAGGGAAGAAGTAAATCTCTCTCTATTCATAGATGAAATGACCCTATAGACAGAAAATCCCATAGCATCTTCCTAAAAACTACTAGAGCTAATAAATGAATTCAGCAAAGTTGTAGGATAAAAGATCAACATAGAAGAATCAGCTGTGTTTTTATTCAACAGCAATGAACAATATGAAAAGGAATTTAGAGAACAATTATATTTACAATAACATCCAAAAGAATAAAATACCAGAGGTACAAGTTTAGCCAAGGAGATGAAAGATTTGTACACTGAAAACTACCAAACATTGCTAAAATAAATTAAAGAAGACATAAATAAAGGAAAAGACACCCCATGTTCATGGACTGGAATACTTAACATTGTTAATATAGCAATACTCCCCAAAGCGATCTACAGATTCAGTGCAATCCCAATCAAAATTCCAGTGGGCCTTTTTTGCAGAAATGGAAAAGCCAATCTTCAAATTCAAATGGGATTGCAAGGGGCCCTGATTAGCCAAAACAGTCTTGAAAAAGAACAAAATTGGCAGATTCATTCTTCCCAATTTCAAAACATACTACAAATTTATAATAATCAAAACCATGTGGTATTGACATAAGGACAGACATATAGACCACTACAATAGAATTGATACTTCAGAAATAAACCCATACATCTATGGCCAACTGATTTTCAATAAGGTTTACAAGACCATTCAATGGGGGGAAGAACAGTCTCTTCAATAAATGGTGCTGGGACAGTCGAATAGCCACATGCAAAAGAATCAAGTTGGACCCCTACATCATACCATCCAGAAAAATTAATGAAAATGGATCCATGACCTAAATATGAGCTAAAATATAAAACCTTCGGAACAAAATATATGGGTAAATATTCATGACCTTGGATTTGGAAATAAATTTTTAGATATGACACCAAAAGCAAAAGCAACAAAAGAAAAAATATATAAATTGGACTTAGCAAAATTAAAAAGATTTTGTGTATCAAAGGACATCATCAAGAAGGTGAAAAGAAAACCTACAGAAGGGGAGAAAATACTTGCAAATCATCTATAAGAGAAGGGTTTAATATCCAGGATATATAAAGAACTCCTACAACTCAAAGAAAAACAACCCAATTTTAAAACAGCCAAAGGACTTGAACAGATATTTCTCCAAAGAAGAGAAATGGCTAACAAGCACAGGAAAAGATGCTTAACATCATTAGTCATTGGAGAAATGCAAATCAAAACCACATTAAAATACCACTTCACACTCATTTACATTGCTATAATAATGATATGAAATAGGAAAATAGCAAGTGTTAGCAAGGATGTAGAGAAATTGGAACCTCTGTACATGGCTGGTGGGAATGTAAAATATTTCCGCAGCTATAGAAAAGTTTGACTGCTCCTCAAAAATTAAACATAGAATTACCATATGGTCCTGCAATTCCACTCCTAGGTATACACTCAAAAGAAGAAAACAGGTACTCAAATAAATACTTGTACATGCATGTTTACAGCAGCACTATTTGCAATAGCCAAAAAATAGAAACAACTCAAATGTCCATCAGATTAATGGATAAACACATTGTGGCATATCAATACTATGGAATATTATTCAGCCAGAAAAGGAATAAAGTGCTTATACATGCCACAATATGGATGAACCTCAAAAACATGATGCTAAGTGAAAAAAACCAGGTCCAAAAGGTCACATATTGTATGATTCCTTCTATATTAAATATTCAGAATAGATAAATCCATAGTGACAAAAAGCAGTTTTGTGGTTGCCAGGGACCATGGGGAGAGGGGAATGAGGAGTAACTGCCTAAAGGATATGGGGTTTTCTTTGGGGGTGGATGAAAATGTTTTGGAACCAGATAGAGGTGGTGGTTGTACAACATTTTGAATGTACTAAATGCCACTCAATTGATTGCTTTAAAATGGTTAATTTTACATGAACATCACTTCCTTAAAATTTGCTTATAAAAATCAATTTGCTATATTTATGTGGATCTATTTCTGAACTCTTTCTTCTATTCCATTGGTCTATGTGTCTATTCCTTTATCAATACCACACTGTTTCGATTAACGTATCTTTAGAGAAAATCTTATAATCACGTGATGTGATTCCTTCAATTTTTTTTCTTATTTTTCATAACTGTTTAGCCTATTTTAGTTCCTTTACCTTTTCACCTTGCATTAAATCTATTGGTCAATCTGGGGAGAACTGACATTTTTACTATGTTGAGTCTTTCAAATTTATGAACATGTATGTCTTTCCATTTATTTAGGACTTCTTCGACTTATTTCATTAAGGGTTTGCAGTTCTCAGCATACATATGCTGTACATGTTTTGTTAGATTTATACCTAAATATTTCATTTTTTGAAGCTACTGTAAATGATATTGTTTCTGGTGCATAGAAATAGAATTAATTTTGTTTGTTGACCTTGTATCCTGTGATCTTACTAAATTTGCTTATTCTAGAAATTTTTGTAGGGTCTTAGGATTTTCTACGTTGACAATTATGTCATCTGTGAATACAGATAGTTTTGTTTTTTTCCTCTCCAATCTGGATGTTTTGTATTTCTTTTTCTTGCATTATTGCACTGGCTAAGACTTTCAGTACAATGCTGAATAGGAGTAGTAGGAGTGGGTATTCTTGCCTTGTTCCTCATCTCAGAGGGAAAGCATTCAATCTTTGACAATTAAGTACAATATCAGCTATAGATTTTTACAACAGATGCTCTTTTACAGATTGAAGAAATTATATTCTATTTCTACTTTGCTGAGAGTTTTTATCATAAAAAATGCTGTATTTTTGTCTCCATCTTCACTACACTGCTCACTTCCAGGTTTCTAGTTGTGTTGAGATCAGGGGATAGCAGAGAAAATAAATTGTAAACTCACAGTCAATTCAGTGGTACTTGCAATTCTGGCGTTCTCCAAATCACTCACTGCTATTAACCCTCTGAAGTTGTCAAATAGCTGCTCGTTGCATTCTATCCAGGTTTTATAGTTGTTTTCTATGGGAGAGAAAAGGTGAAGCATGCTCACTCCGTCTCACCCAGAACTGGAACCCTAATACTAATAGTTTTGCTTCTGCCTTTCCAATCTTTATACATTTTCTTTCTTTTCCTGTATTACTGGTCCTCCTCTCTAATACCTAATTCCTGCATCCCCAGAAGTCTTCCTAAATTAGTTTATTTATTTTCAAAGGGTTTACTTAATCTTTCTTTTTTCTTGTCCATACTTTTCTTCCCTATCCCACCTGCTACTATTAGTTACCTGGAAGCCCACTTGTCACCCTCTGCTTCTTAGTCAATTTTTAAATTGAGATAGAAGTCACATATCACAAAATTCACCATTTTAAAGTATAGAATTCAGTGGTTTTATCAGTATATTCACAATTCATCACCACTATTTAATTCCAGAACGTTTTCATCACCCCAAAAAGAAACCCTGTATCCATTGGCAGTCACCCTCCATCCCCCTGCAGCTCCCAGCCCCTGGAAACCACTAGTCTACTTTCTCTCTCTGTGGATTTGCCTATTCTGGATATTTCATACAATATGTGACCTTTTGGGGGTCTGGCTCCTTTCACTTAGCATCTTTTCAAGCTTCATCTATGTTTTAGTATATATCAGAACTTAATTTCTTTTTATTGCTATATAATATTCCACTGTATGGATATACTACATTTTATTTACCCATTCATCAGTTGATGGACATTTGAATTGTTTCTAGTTTGGGCTATTGTGAATAATGCTGCTATGTACATTCATATACAAGTTTTTGTGTGGATGTAAGTTTTCATTTCTCTTGGGTATATACTCAGGAGTGGAATTCCTGGGTCAAACAGTAATTATATGTTTAACTTTTTGAAGGACCACCAAAGTGTTTTCTATAGTGGCTGAACCATTTTACATTCCCACCAGCAGTGTATGAGGGTTCCAATTTCTCCACATTCTTGATAACACATGTTATTATCTGTCTCTTTGATTATAGCCATGCTAGTAGATATATAAGTGGTATCTCATTGTGGTTTTGATTTGCATTTCCCTGATGGCTAATGATGTTGAGTGCGTTTTCATGTGCTGATTGGCCATTTGTATATCTTATTTTGAGAAATGTCTATTCAGAGCCTTTGCCCTTTTAAAAATTGGGTTGTCTTTCTTTTATTGAGTTTCTTTCATATAGTGTTAAATAATGTTGCTTGAGATGAAGTTTCTGATCATTTTGAGGTTTACAGTTGTGAAAATTTGGGACTCAGGGAAAAAACCCTTTGGCGAGTAGAATATAATTGCTTATATACTAAAGTGCCTATAATTTTCTTAGGAGTTTGTTTTGTGTTTCCGTGTTTTATTGAGAATGTATCTAGATTTCTTGTCTCTGGCTTTAATGCTCCAATCATGTCTGTATCTGTAAGATTAAAAAAAATAAAAATATTGGAGATGCTCTCCAAATGTGAATGCTAAAGTTCACTCAAAAAAAGTTGAGAGCCTAAGCCAATTCAATCACATCTATTGTTTTCAGTTAATATTAAGTTACGTAAGATAGATAGTAGATGTGTGTTTTTCCTATTCTATTTTGGGGGAGTTGGAGTTGGACCTGAAGATGATGCAGAGTGGGAAATTGACCATGGAAAGCCAATAGGCCAACCAAATGAAAATGATACAAATATTATACAAACTGTTTATTTAAACAATGTAAAAAAGCCTAGAAAATGCCCTCTTTATCCCAAATCCAGCATTCTTTACAAACAAAAAAACAAAACCAAAATGTTTGTAAACATAAAATCCTAGCACCTAAAACAATGCCTGGCACATAGAAAGGGCTCAATAAATATCTGCCCAATGTTAAATGAATGAATGAACATTCACAATGCATATCTTTCCAAAAGTTTTAGGGAGCAAACATCCTCAGGCAGAGATAAAGATAGAACAGTTTTAGGCAGCAGGCGAATAAGTGTTAATTTGGGCATTACAGGTGATAAACAGTAGCTTATGGCAGCAGGAATCCTGGTTGCAAATAACACTTCATTAGTTAAGTAGGCTTTTATAAATGATAAAGTATGGCAAGTATTAACTGGCCATAAAAGGATCTTTCAAAGCAGTTTGTACCACACTTCTTGACTATCAGGGCACTGGGTGTTTGCGTACAGAGTAACTACTTTAGAATAACTCCAGAAAGAGGATCGAGGGAAGGAATGGACACCAACCAAAGAAAAGAGAGAAAATTCCTCATTAAGAGGAAGTATGATACCAAATGGGGGAGAAAATAGAATAGGAATATTAAATTTCCAGGTCATTTTTCATCTTAGCAGTTACTAAACCGTGATCGTCAAATGCTAATTAAAAAGAAGTATGATCAAGCAGGAATGCTTAGAGGGAGGTGAATTATAATGAAATATGAATGCTTTTAGTATTTGTTTACACATTATTTCAATAAAAAAAATTTTAAGCCAATGCAAGTAGGTAAATGAGGGCCTTTTGAGCTCCTGGGGAAATGCCCTATATAACTATGTTAGAGGGTAATTATTATTATTATTGTGTTCTTTAGTGGCTTCCGGGAAACCGACAATTAACTGTTGCCACTGAACTCTTAATGAGTGAATCACCTTGGGGCTCGTTAAAAGTGCAGCAGTTGATCATGTAGTTTCAACTTATTAATAAACTGCTCTGGTGATCATTATAGACATCTAGTATCCCTTCGGGACCACTCTCATTATGAGGCATTTGGGTTGCCTGTTGTTCTCATAAATGAATCCTCCAGGGAGGAGGCCAAGAGGGTCCTCTTGCAAAGGCATCTTGAGAAGTTGTTGGTCAAGTTCTGGTTGCCCTCTGAGGGAGGGAAAGGCAGCGCTCATGTTCTCAATTAACCTTGCTTCCTGTGGGAGAAAGGGCCTCTGCTGAATCGGAATTCTCTCTCAAAGATGGTTTAGGGCAGAGATTGTCAAGAACTGTTTATCTCTTATAAACTGAAATATTTATGGGTGAAATGTTATAATGTCTGAAATTTGTTTTAAAATACTCCAAAACAAACAGCTCTCCCAAGAGAAATAAAATAAAAACAGAAAAACTGGAGGGGATAAATGAAAAAAGATCAGCAAAATGTTGATTATTGCTGAAGCCTATATAGGGGTTCATCATATTATTCTCTCTTCTACGTATGTTTGATAATTTCTGTAATGAAAACTTGTAAAAGGTGTATATAAAAAGATTGTTCATCTCCTACATATATTATCTTAAATCAGTTATTGCTCTATGTATTAGAATTCTTTCAGTTACAATGAACAGAAACCCCAATTCACACTGGCTTAAATAAAAGAAATGTATAGATTCATGTAGCTGAAAACTCCAGGGCAGTTCTAGGTATCAGGTGATACTTGATCCTATAGCTCAAGGGTTCCACTAAGAACTGATTGTTTATCAATCTGCTCTGCCCCCTATGGTGTTGGTTTCATCCTAAGGCTCACATCTCTCCTAGTTTCAAGAAGACTGCCAATGGCTACTTGGTGACATGTATCATCCAGCAAGATCTGGATTTGTTCTAGCATTTCCAACAAAAGTCGTGATGGGACCAGCTTAAGGTCATATGCCTACCCTGAGCCATATTCTAAGCAAAGAGGTAGCATCCTCCTCTTATTAACTTAGTTTATGTCACATTCTCCACTCCTAGAATCCAGGGTTGGGAACCTCACAGATCTCCAAATGGAATCAGGGTTGTTGGGAAGGAGGACTGAGGTAATGGTTGCTAAGAGTCAGTCAACAAATGTCTGCTACACTCCACACAGGTAAAACTTCCAGTAGAATAGAATGGAGGACATTGAATATCTTCTAAAACTGCAATATAGATGTGAAGCTGTGGTCAGAGATCAGGGACCTGGATAGTCTGTAGAGATAAGATTACCTTAATGAAACTACAAGCAGTGTCTAGGGTTGATGGGAGTGATGGTGAGGAATTCTATGAGGCCAGCATTTCCCTAATACAAAAAACCTGAAAAAGACATTACAAGAAAAAAAAAATTATCTCTCATGAACATAGATTCAGAAATCGTCAATAAAATATTAAGAAATCAAATCCAACAATGTATAATAAGAATTATACAGTGGGGGGCCAGCCAGGTGGCGCAAGCGGTTGGGTGCGCGAGCTCCGCTGTGGTGGCCCAGGGTTTGCCAGTTCAGATCCTGGGTGTGCACCGACGCACTGCTTGTTGGGCCATGCTGTGGCAGAGTCCCATATAGAGTGTAGGAGGGTGGGCATGGATGTTAGCCCAGCGCTGGTCTTCCTCAGTAAAGAGAGGAGGGTTGGCAGATGTTAGCTCAGGGCCGATCTTCCTTACACACACAAAAAAAGAATTATACAGTGGGATTTATTCCAGGTATGCAAGGCTGGTTCAATATTCAAAAATAAATTAATGTAATCCATCACATCAACAGGCTAAAGGATAAAAATCACACGATCATATCAATAACTGTAGAAAAAGAATTTGACAAAATCTAACACCCATTTATGATAAAAACTCTCAGCAAACTAGGGATAAAGGGGAATTTCTTCAATTTGATTAAAAAAATCTACAAACCCCCCACAACTAATATTATACTCAATTGTGAGAAACTAGAAGCTTTCCCATTAAGATCAGGAACAAGGCAAGAATGTTCCCTCTCACCACTCCCCTTCAATATCATACTTGTAAGCCCTAGATAATGCAATAAAACAAAAAAAAAAACATAAAAGCATATAGATTAAGAAAGAAGAAATAAAATTGTCTTTTTCACAGATGACATGATCATTTATGTATAAAATCCCAAAGAATCAACAAAAAACTCCTGGAATTAATAAAGCACTTGTAACAAAGTTGCAGGTTACAAAGTTAACACACAAAAGCCAATCACTTTCCTATATACAAGCAGTGAACAATTGGAATTTGAAATTAAAAACACAATACCATGGGGGCCGGCCTGGTGGCGCAAGCGGTTAGGTGCGCACGCTCCGCTGCGGTGGCCCAGGGTTCACAGGTTCGGATCCTAGGTGCGCACCGACGCACCGCTTGTCAAGCCATGCTGTGACAGTGTCCCACATAAAGTGGAGGAAGATAGGCAAGGATGTTAGCCCAGGGCCAGTCTTCCTCAGCAAAAAAACCCCAAAAAACACAAAACAAAATACCATGTATATATATACCATGGAATACTACTCAGCCATAAAAAAAGACAAAATCGTCCCATTTGCAACAAAATGGATGGACCTGGAGGGTATTATATTAAGTGAAATAAGCCAGAAAGAGAAAGACAAACTGCATGATTTCACCCATATGTGGAAGATAAACCAACACACCGACAGATAGAACTCTTTGGTGATTACCAGG